GGCGCTGTCGGGGGGTCGCCCGGGCCGTCGGTGACATGTGCAGGCTCCTGGAGGCCAGGCGCGGCGTGTCAGCGCAGCTGCCATGTCAGTGGCCCGTGGAGGGGGCCGCGACCCGTGTCGCTGCGCGCGCGAGTCCTGCGCGTGTCTTTCATTAGGGACGTGGCTGGATCTCTCCCACAAGTGAGCTCCCAGCTGGGAAAACGTTGCTGATCTCACAGTGGTTAAGGAAATCATGTTTACACCTGTTACGGAAAAGGGGGCGTTCGTTGGAACTTGAACTTTGCACGTTTTGCCATTTCCTTGCAGCATTTTCTTGGGCTGCGTTTTCATAATAGGACAAAATTTGGTGGTAGTATTCAAAAGTCCCAATTAAATATACCTATTTGCTTTACTCAAAGTAGTTTTATCAGTCTTGAAAGTTGTACAATCTTTAGTTATATGTACAGCATTTGCACACACAGAGTCAATATTCCTAATATACACCAGGGTCCCTCACATGAATAGGAAACCAGCCAAGAACCATAGAAAATGGGCAAAGCGTGTGAAGAGTTAATTCACGCAAGAGGAAATGCAAATAAGTCAGTAAACAAGAAAAGTTACTCAGCCTCATAAATGTGAGAGATGCATGTGAAAGCGACGAAATAGCTGCTTTTTAGCCATCAGATTAGTAAACAGAAAGCACAGTACCTGGGTAGAGTACTGGATGGTTGGGGTGTGAGAAGAATCTTGGTAGGAGTGTAAATTGCTGTAGCTTACTTGATGGTATCTCCTAAAATTTAAATTGTATGTATTTTTTGATTCATTAATCCCATCTTAGGGAATCCAGGCTACAGAAATTAAAAGCACTGTTAGAGTAGAGATAGCTGTACAAGAATGTGCATTTTGAAAGAATGGAACTGTTCCTTGGAACATCCATATTATAGAATAATATTCAGACATTAAGGATGAGGTGGGTCGTTGGAAGGATACGCAGAATATTCCCAAGACAAAAAAAAAAAGATACAAGTTGTGGAACAATATCTATAGTACCATCTAAGTGAAAAAAAATTGTGCTCAGAGAAACATGGAAAGATGACTGCCTCCTGGAGTTAGGGTGGAGATGAGGTGGAACCATTAAATTTTATTTTATGTACAGACTTCTATATTGTTTAAATTGTTGCAAGAGACTTGTGTTAGTTTTTCAGTAAAATAGGAGGAAAGATGCTTATTGGAAGAAATAAAGTATCAGCTATCAAAAAATTACCAATGAACTCTAATAAGTATCTTAAATTTTCTCTGTTTATGAATTTAATGTATCATCACTGCTTTACTGACTATCCTACTCTGTGTCAGACACTTTGTATATACTGTGTATGTAATCCTCAATTTATTAATGCGGTGGATGTGATCCCCATTTTGCAGATGAGGAAACTGAGACTCAAGGTTGACTTGTTCAGAATCACAGAGCTAGTAAATGGTGGAGCCAGTATTCAAACCCAGTTCTGTATGACTTCAGAGCCTGTGATCGCTCCACTATGCTGTACTTCCACAAGACCTGGAAAGAGAAACTCAAGTCTGTTAAGGACAGCACGAATTTTTATCTGACCACTTTCTCCCTTTCTTTCATTAACAATTTTTATTTGAAGAAAAGTTGTTGGATTTTTTTTGACCAAAATTAGTTTTTAACTGGAAAAGTCTAACATAATTCACTTGAGATTTCAGCTCAAATTTTGAGATCATCAGAGTGAAGTTACAGTTATTTCGGCTTGTTAATTTAGATTGTCTGACTCTAGGGTAAGGGTAGAATAAAAGTCCAGAGCTACGAACCACACATGTACAATTGCTTGACTGCTCTCCAGTCTGGGAATTTTCACTAAGCTGAACTCTAATTCATTAGGTTTACCTGTACAGTTTTTTTGAAACCCAAAAAATGATTTATGATAAACAGCAGAAAATGTCCCATCCCTTTCCCTCCCCCTCCCCCTCCCCCCAGGCTAAACTGATGATAAAGACTGGAGCTGCTCAGTACCTTACCGTTCACAGTTTATGGAGTTACTTCCCTAGTCATATGTGGTCTTACCCTTCCTGGAATTCATTTTTTTGTTTTTGTGTTTTAAATGTTAAGGCAGTTGGTGTTTTTACTTGAAAAATGAAGTATGAAACAGTCCCAGTTTCTGTGGCGTGTTGGGGCAAGCAATGTAACTTCAGAGAAAGCTGACTTAAAGAAATTATTTAAAATGAAGAGACGCAATTTTTGAACTGTGGCTCTCATTTCTGATACATTTTTATCCAGTTGTTGAATAGATATAGAACCTTATAGAAAAAATTTTAAGTTTAATATAGTAATTATTCTACTATTCTGTTTTTAAATATGACTTTGTTAGGACTTCTATGTGTAATTAAGAGAGCGAGAGAGTGCAGCTGGGTATTAAATAGCTCCAATTTGAAGTGTGTGTTGTAAAATTTGATGATCATGAGCTGTATAAATGTAAGGATTGAAAAATAATGTGTCCGTATTTGCAATCATGAGTTACTCATTTTAGCCTTGAAATTTTAATGTTTGCAAAGTTGGGTTAACAAATTAAAGCCTTTGTTATCTGTTACACACATGTCTAGGCCCTACAGTTACCAGTTATAGGAATTTACTTCTTGGCAATAATTTTGGTTTATTTATTTTATTTTATCATATTTTATTTAAAGTAGAGGTACTGGGGATTGAACCCAGGACCCCGTTCATGCTAAGCACACAGTCTACCACTGAGCTATACTCTCCCTCAGGAGGTAGGTAGGTTTATTTATCTTAAATTTTTTTTTTAAATAGAGGAATAATTTTGTATTCTGTTTCAGGGGAAGGGAAAAAGAATTTCCATATTCCATTTATTGACCTTTAGTGTTTGAAGGGAAATTATAACTCCTTTTTTGTTGGTTTACTAGCTAATCTGAGAGTTCTTTATCATCTGCAATATAATGAAGAAATGTCTAGAAGGATTCTTTGAGATACTCTGTAATTTTCTGAGACAACTTGACCCATACATAGTCTATCACACATATAAGCACGTAAAGAATTAGTGTTTTAGCGAAGTGATTTAGCACCTTGCTTTTGATGATTAGGTGTTTTAAAATGGTTGTTTTCATAAAAAGTTGTCAGGACTTATTCAGTTCCCAAGTTTGAGTGTACTTGGTTTTGATGATCAGTATAGCCAGCATCTGGACATTAGCCCTTTTCTGTCTGCCAGCTTTATTAGTACCAGTATTTCATCATCCATGATTACAATTTTTAAAATGAGAACTGCAGTATAACAAGAGGATAAAGATATAGCCAACCATTTTCTTTAATGCCTTCTTCAGTTCTTGCCATTAGTGATTGGAACTTTGGAAAATTAGTAAGAATTAATGAAAGATTATGGAAACTTTACTGTTTCGCTAATTTTCGAGAGACTTGGCCTTATCTGGCCATGATATTAACTTTTGTAGTTTTTCCTGTAACTCTCAAGCCCAAATTTTAGGGTATTTAATTGAAAGACTGATTCCTTTGTTCCCAGCCTTTCAGATTTTGACTTGGTAAATCTGGTATGGGAATCAGAAATCTCCATTTTAAACAGACATCTTGGGGATTTTGAGAAACAGAGTTAGCCAAAACACGCAGATCTGTTTTTGAGGATTACTTTTCTCATTTTAGAGATGAATATTGTGTATTTAACTTTGGACAGTTTTTTAAAGAAGCAAAAAGTACATCATAAAATCATAAAATGTATCTTTTGAAGATATGACAAACATATTAACAAGTAAGTGTTAAACTAGGTATTAATGATTCAGTTTAAGGGGAAAGGCAGGGGCTTGATAGAGTATTGTTGTTTCATAGCAGTGCACACACTCACCCCTCTCTTCTGGTAGAATGTCTACTATAAACAACCAGATGGCAGCAATAATTATTTCTTTGGGGACTCTTTTGCAGTATTTTCCCCTTTCAAGACATTTATGGTAAATAATTTCTTAAGAAGTAGTTGTTTTTCACCATCACATTTCCTTCTTTCTGCATGGCATGCATCATTCAACAGTTTCCTTAGGAAAAATAGTGAGATGAATATTACATAAACTGCTAGAATGGTAAAGCTTTGGGCCAGCGCTGTGTGCGACTCATGAGAGCTTGTCTACTGCCACTGGTGTATTTCCTGACTCTGTTTATGTCCCTTTCTAACTAAAAATTTCTTTTGTTTATTATTGGTATATGTTTATGAAGGAGCATTAACTTTTTGAAAGACAATAAATAGAATGATACGTAACTTTTTTTTTTCCATTTCTGCTCTTTTAAAATTAGGAATCAAGTACTGGAAATGTTTGATCATGCTTATGGTAATTATATGGTAAGTAGAAATCTTATCTTTATATATCACCAATGTGAGTTGTTTATTATGTGAGCATAGTCAATTGGGAATTTTAAAACCTAAATTAATAGCATATTTTTTTAAAGGAAGTTTTAAAAAACAATGCAAACAGTATTCCTGATAGTGGTTCTTAGAGAAACAGTTTATTGAATAGGTAAGAATAAATTGAATTAAATTATGAACCTTTGTATTTAAATAATTTCCTTTGATGCTGTCAACAATGTTTATTAAATACTTTATCTAGTTAGATATTGTGGATATAAATATGAATAAGATGTTATCTCTGGCCTTAAGGGAAATGATTCTCTTAACTAAAAAAAAAAAAACCCTATTTACAGCATTAGTTTTATTCACTCTGTGAAGAAAACCATTGCTTAAGAGTCAAACTACACCCAGTTTCTGTCCAAATTATATCCTCATAGTGGGTTTTGATTTGAATATAGTTTGCTTTCTGGATATGCTGATCTATATTGTTTTAATGTGTTGGTGCTCACTTGAGATGAAATAGCATGTTTAGTTTTGCAAGGTGAAAAAATTCTTGAGACCTGTTGCACAACAGTGAATATACTTAATTCTGCTAAACTTACACTTAAAAATAGCAAATTTTGTGTTGCATGTTTTATTTTTACCACAACTAAAAATTTAACCCCCGCCCATAGTACAGGAGGAGCCGCTTGGTGGGTGGGAGGTGGGGAGGGGCTCCTGTTCTTGACCTTGGGGCTGAGGGTCTATAGCTGCCCCGCCAACCCTAGCCACCTCTTGCCCCGCAATAAAATGATCTTAAACTGCAAAAGTAAATAAGTAAGTGATTTTAAAAAGATGAACTAGCCAGAAAATTTTGGAGTTCAAGAGAATTTTACATGTAAATTTGTGTAATTTTGAAGAGTTTAATCAAATTATTCTGAGAATTACTTCCTATGACCTTTTTACATTTTGAAATACTTAAGTGATTTTCTTTTATGATTAAGTCCTATAAAAATGTTGCTGGGAAAAGTTTGGCAGAGAACTAGCTGTATTTGATTCTTTTAAGTGTTTTTCAACTGAGTCTATTTTTCATTATATATTACCCAAATAGCTTCGTATATTAGCGTTACCTTTATAAACGTGTAATTGCCTATGCTTTTATACGTTTTTGTATTTTTGAAGCATGTTTTATATTTGATAATTCTTATCGCCACTTATATTGTACACTTTTTAGGAGTACATACTAAGTTCTGAGTAAATGCTTTTAGGATATGATGGTGATGAAATTTGGGGTATTTTAAACCATGTTGAAAACACAGTTTTGAAGTCATTTCTCAAGACCTCAACCATTTCCTTACCATTTCTTTCAAAATCATTTATCCCTGGTTAATTCAGTTTGGCCAAAGCATAATTTAACAACTCTAGGTTAATTGTTTTGAGGTGGCCAGGTGGGCCCGTGCTGCACCCTCGGACCTAAGCCAGGTCATAGATGCATAGTTGAATAAAACAGTAGACAGCTGATCAGTTCAGTGCGTCTCACTGTGAACAGGATCCTCTCTTTGTAAAGCATAGGACCTTTAACATCTTGTTCTTTATTAGGTAAACAGCAGATTTACCAGTACTTACTATATTAGTAGTTTTTTTCCTACTAAAAAATGTGCTTAGTAAATGGATTTGTGACAGAGCAGATGGCCAGGGCAGCCCTCAGAGGATTTCCCATCCAGTTTCTTCTTATTGGACCCTAACTCGGTAACTTTCTATTACAACCACCTACCTACAAAATGTAAAGGAGAGGAATTTCAACTCCAAAGACAGAAAACTCATGGAATTAATACCCCCTTCCATTTTTCCAGTGGAGCCACACCTGTCTGCAGTCCACTGCAATATGCATTTTAAAATGTTCAACGGTTTGACAACATGAGTGACTCTCGCGGTGTGCTTGTGCTATGCTCAATGTATGTGAAGTTTGTAACCCAAGGTTTAGTCTAGAATTCACACTTCCCCTTTTCAAGTTCTCAACTAACATGAAACCGTTCTAAAATATTAGACAGAAATCAGGTGCCCTGTATGTATTATTCGAAGTCAGCTGAAAATTTTTTCTACATTATTAGCTTTTACACTATTCGTTTTTTGTAAAGTGTAGTTAGGTTTTGGAGTTTGATGGGTTTGAGTTCAAATCCTATCTCAGCTATTTAATAGCTTGGACCTTAAACAGATCATTTAACCCTCCTGAGCAGTGTCTTCCTATGTAAAGTGGGGATAATTGCAAAGGATTGTTTGTAAGATTTTTGAGAACAAGGACCATTTTCTTGAATTTTTAGCAAACTGATCTTCTGTATGTCCTGTGCCTAACATGATGCCTGGTACATAAATGTTTAATTTTGTTTTGTTTTTGAAACAACTGAATGTAATTATTTTGAAGGTGTAGTCAAATAATGGGGCTTTTTTGCATTTGATTGCTATGGTATATCTTCACCTTTTAAATTCAAAGAAATCATTTACTAAATTTAATTAAAAATACAAGTCAATGGTAAATTTTGGGTTCTGTAATTCCGTTTACTTGCTGTGGTCAGTTGCCTACTGTGCTAAATTGTAAGATGCCTTGCGCGTGGTGGGCTTTTAATAAATGTTAAAAACTTCATTTCTTACTAGTTTTTAAAAATATTGCTCTTCAGTCTAGCTACAATTATAGTAATTCCTTTTAACTTTCTTGCTTCCTGAAAAACAACATTATTTTCCAAAGACATGATTAAGAGCAAGAATTCCAGAAATGGAGCAGGACACCCTGAGGTGGCTCTGCTGCCTGCCAGCGGGGTTACAGTGGGAAAGTCATCCAGTCTCCCCGAGCCTGTTTCCCCATCTCTCTCAAATGGTTTGCCTGCCTCACAAAGTGTTGTAAGAGTAGAGCAAGTTAGTACAATTAAAATGCCTACGACTTGTGTCTAGCAGGTGGGAAGCACTGTTTGGGAGTTTCCTGCTCCTGCTACCAGAACTCATGCTTTGCCTGGGATTGAAATTGCCCTCCTAAAATGCATCTAGGCTTTAGCTCAGAACTCATTCCCCAGGTTGAGCAGAGAACTTCCTTCAGAGACACTCATCTTTCCTGTTTAGGCACGCAGCCTTTGAACTTTTATTTCTTCCCTTTTTTGTGATTCCCCAGGCTCTATTAATGCTGTTTTTCAGTAACAATGCCCTGCCAACCTTAGGTAGATTACTGTGTCTCTGCCATCTCTTGGTGTTACATCCAGGAATTTTCTGATTTTATCAATTAATTGCATAAATATTACCATCGTAATGACGGTATTTTATAAATCTCTAGCCCCAGTCAGACTACCATTTATTCACAGTGAATTGCACAGATGGCTTTCTCTTTTCCCCAAATAACATGAAATTAGATGTTTATTTTGGCAGTCCTTGTGCGACCTTATGTAACCTCAGACCACAGCCACTTTAGGGCTTCTTTTAGCTTGTTTTTAGTTATTTGTGCCGAGGTTAGTTTGCAAATTAATTCAGATGACAAAATACATGTATTTAGGCCACCAGATACAGAACCATTTTGGATCTGAGCTGTCAGATCTGATCTTTGTCTTGTCATGTGTTTCCTGTCTACTGTAGACAACTCAGTTATTAACTATTATTATTAACTATTATTAACTATTAAAAGCAAAAACTACTGCGGTAGAGCCCTAAACATTAAACTAAACTCGACAAGAGTTGGTAAGCACAGTTTCCTTTAACTAGTAGCATCATATCCAAGTAATAACCACTTTAAACCATGATTTCATGAGAGTACAATTCTAAGAAACAGATTAGTCTTTATCATTTAAACAAAAGGAACTGTTTTAAAATGTAACGTCCTTCCACATTTCTAGGATTATGTACGTTTTCTTGGAATTTTTTTTTTCCTAATTTTTAAAAAATTTTTTATCATGGCAAAATACACATAACATAAAATTAACCATTTTTAAGTGTGCAGTCCTGTTTTACTAATTACATTCACATTGTGGTAGGGTTGTCACCATCCATCTCCAGAACTTGTTCATATTCCCCGTTTGAAGCTGTGTACCTAATGTTTCTTCTTGTTAGTTTCTTCATCAAGAAGAGTTATTTTGTACATAAAGTAGTTTAGAAGTGGTACTAGTAATAGTTGGGAGGAGGAAAGATGCAAATTGATACGCACATTTTTGTGTATAGAGACGGCAGCACTACTTTCTGTTAACTGCTGTTCCTTGGCCTGTACTTTAGAACATCCTAAAACTGCCAGAGTGTCTTTAGAAATTTGTTAGCATCCTCTTAGTTTTTTTTTTAAATCACACTCTGATACTGTAGAATTTTAACTCAGTAGAACCAAGTCTTTCTGTTTATTTAGATACAATTTACAGACAAAAAAAAAATTCCAGTTTTAAATGCCCTCTTCTGAGTTTGACAGTTGTATGCAGTTGTTTCACTACCACCACAGCCAGGATATGGATCATTTATGTCACCACAAAGAGCTTCCTCAGGCTCCTCTGTGGTCAGTTCCTTTTCTCCACCTCTGACCTCTAGCAACCATTGTGATCTGCTTTTTGTCGCTAGTTTTCCCTTTTCTAGGATTTCGTATCAATAATGTCTTACAGTGTGTCGTGAAGTGTTTGAGATTCATCCATGTTGTTGGACATATTGTAGTTCCTACTTACTGCTCAGTATTACTCATTTGATTTGATGGAACATAGAAGAAGTAGTTTATTTCTTCATTCCCCAGTTGATAAGTATTTGGCTTGTTTCTGGTCTTCGGCTATTATTAAAAAGACTGCCATGGACCTGTGAGTGCAGATGTTTATGTGGACATACATTTTCATACTTAGGAATGGGGTTGCTGGGTCACATGGGAAGGGTGAGTTTAACTTTTTATAAGAAAATTGCCAACCTTTCCTAGCCTGGCTGTGACATTTGCATTCCATACGAGCAGTTTTGAGAGTTTTAGTTACTCCACATCCTCTCCAACACTTGGTATTTTCAGTCTTTAATTTTAGCCA